GCCTTAACAGGACCTTTCCAAGACATATGCTCTAAGACCCATTTTATAGATAAGAAAGCTGAGGCTCAGAGATGAACACTCATGATCCAGGCCATGATACTAGGAGACAGTGGAGCTGGTACCCTGATCTGGGGCCATCTGACCATGAGTATCATGTTCTTTTTACTACTCTGGTTTAGACGCCTTTTGCATGTGTTTTATTATTTATTTACTTATTGGAGCAGATGGTGTTTATTAACAAAAATACCATGGTAGATATCTTAGTTCATCCTTCTAATAAGCCTGTCGATCTGGTCTTCCCTGTTGCCAGCATCTACAGCTTCCACAACATGGATGGTCTTCTTCATTTCAGCTTGTGGAGAAGAGAATTTGAGGGTCACAGGAAGGTGCAGTGGTACCTCAGTTGACAAACTTAACTCATTCCATGATTGTGGAGAATATGATCACAGTCGTGTTCATCACCCAGTGAAGAGTTAGAAAACAAAAACAAACTTGTGCCAAATGTGTGTTTGCAAATAAGTACTAATGAACTGAGGTACCATTGTATTTGTCTCTTTGCAGCACTTTCAAACAGCATAGATGCCATATTTACCAAGAGATGACCAATGTGTCCTGGCAGTTCACTTCTTACTGATTTTACCATAATTACTCTCATAGATTAGTTCATTTACTGACTTCAGTAATTCATAGCTTTCCTCTGCAAGGTCCCTCTACCACAGCAGCCTGCCTTGGAGCCAGCTGACTATGGACTGAAACCTCTACAAACTGTGAGCCAAACCTTTCCTCCTTTAACTTTGGGTGTTGTGCATTTTGTCTCAGCAATGAGAAAAGTAACCAAGGCAGGTGCCATGAGGATCACAGCCACATGTTATAATGTAAAATGAATTAGAGCTGTTATGGTGTTGTAGGTGATGGGAGCTGACTGTATTCTTTTTAAGAAATGGTTTAGAGAAAATAAGAAAAGTCTGGAAAATTCATAGTTCTCTTCAGCAATACATAGTTCCACAATATTCAGCAAGTTAATCAAAGACTTGTGGAGATTAAGAAAGATGCCATTGAAGAACTGGCTCAGGCGACACCTTCCAGACTTTTGGGCTCACACCATTGATACCTCTGATTCTGGTGACAAACACCAATATGATTCTCCAGGCACATAGAAATTGCCAGCTTTTCTTGCCATCCAAGCCATTTGAATTTCCCTTCTGTAATATCCCTTGTGATGGTGCTTGATTTTTCTATTGACGAGCCTCCTCTTTACCTTTTTGAAGCATCTTATAGGCAAACTTCTTTCTTGGGCACTTGTTCTTTAGCTCTGTGAAATCTTTTCTTTTTCTTAAGAAGTTGTGTCATAGCAGGAACCTTCTTTTTCTTCTCTTTGGCACTTTCTATAGTTTCTACCAGAAAAGAACAAGTGTGCTTTAAAAATTTTATTTTTATTAGTTTTAATTTTTGTTTAAAATCAGGAACAAGACAAGGATGCCCACTGTCACCACTCCTGTTTAATATTGTTCTTGAAACATTAGCCACAGCAATTAGAGAAAAGAAAGAAATGAAAGGAATAAAAATAGCAAAGGAAGAAGTTAAATTGTCATTATTTGCTGATGATATGGTACTTTACATAGAAGACCCAAAATACTCTGCCAAAAGATTTCTAGACTTAATTGACAGATTCAGTAGAGTAGCTGGATATAAGGTCAAGACTCAAAAAACAATAGCCTTTTTATATACAAATAATAGACTCACTGAGAGAGAAATTAGGGAAACAATTTCTTTTACAATAGCATCCAAAAAAAAAGAAATATCTAGGAGTCAGTTTAACACAGGAAGCAAAAGACCGCTACACTGAAAACTATAGCACTTTGAAAAAGGAGATTGAGGAGGATATAAGAAAATGGAAAGACATCCCTTGTTCCTGGATAGGAAGAACCAATATAGTGAAAATGGCCATATTTCCAAAACTATTATATAGGTTTAATGCAGTGCCAATTGAAATTCCAACAATATATTTCACAGAAATAGAGAAAACAATCCAAAAATTCATTTGGAACCAGAAGAGACCTAGAACAGCAAAAGAAATTTTAGGCAACAGAGATATGGCTGGGGATGTTACAATCCCCAACTTGAAACTATCCTACAAAACTACTGTGATAAAAACAGCATAACACTGGCAAAGAAACAGACCCGAGGATCAGTGGAATAGATTAGAAGATGCAGAAATGTCTACAGATATGCTCAGCCACCTCATCTTTGACAAAGGAGCCAACCATCCTCACTGGAGGAAAGATAGCCTATTTAATAAATGGTGTTGGAAAAACTGGATTTCAACCTGCCAAAGATTAAAACTAGAACCATACCTATCACCATACCTATGCACTAAATTAAGATCCAGGTGGATTAAAGATTTAAATATTAAGACAGAAACACTAAATTTACTGGAAGATAAGTTAGGTAGAACTCTTGGAGACATTGGTATAGGAAAAGATTTTATGAACAAAACCTCAGTGGCACAGGAACTTGCACAAAGAATCAACAACTGGGATCTTATTAAGAAGCTTCTGCACTGCAAGAGAAACCACCAACAGAGCTAAGAGACAACCTACAATGTGGGAAAAAATTTTCAGCAACCATACCTCAGACAAAGGACTACTATCTAGAATATATATGAAGAACTGAAAAAAATCAGACCCCCCTCAGATTCAAAGACCCAATTCAAAAATGGGCATCTGAAATGAACAGACATTTCTCAGA